AAGCCTTCCGTATGCACCAACGCATTGGTGTCGCCAAAAGAGCCAATCACTTGACATAATTGGTTGGAAGAATAATGCGCAGATTGTGCAGAACATAATTAGAAAAAGCATATTCTTCAAGTAGCGCTTCTGAAGTTTTCGTGAAATGAATATTATTTAAGTTCTTTGTTCTTCTACTGTAGAAAAGAAGTGGTGGTTTTAAATAAACAGTACAGCAAGATGTAATAGTCACTTTTTGGCGCGCATTTCTATTTATTTCAGCCATATAAGAAATGAAACGTTGTCAAGCAATAGCCATGAACGCAAGATTACAAAAATATACCTTTATGAGTTGATTATGAAACCAAGCAAAATCTTCGTTTATATATAATTTCAGTGAGAAATTTATTTTGCTGATTTTGTGTACAAAAAGAAAACTGAGAAATATGCACTGTTTCTATATAACAATTTAGCACTTCATGAGATGAAAGCGTTACTTTTGGGAAGTTATTTGTGCAGACCTATTTTCTGTATTATTACAGTATCAAAGTACAATGTTCGCTCCATTTAATAAGCCTTCTTTATATCTTCGCTTGATAACATAATCATTCCATTCCATATCTATCAAATGACAAATGCATTCAATGAAAGCAGAATTTGCTTTTAATAGCTCAGTTGTTTTGCAGTCTTTGCAATGCATAAATTCGTTTCTAAGAACGGACTCATTCGTATAAAATTGGCAGAACAAATATGTAAATTTCAAATTAGCTAAACTTTGAAAAGAAGTGCAGTCGATGTGATGATATTTGTGTGTGCAGTGAAGAATTAAATATGATACGAAATATAAGCCAACAGAATTTCTGAACCCTTCACTATTACTAAACTTAACGAAAGCAGATGGCCACAATATAATTCATTTTTGAGTACATTCACACATCAAGCGATTGTTCAAACACAAAATTTGACGAAAATTAAGTTATGACTTCGATGCCAATTTGGCATACGTTGCGAAGAGCAATTTATTAGTATTCATTTTAAACCAAAGACTTGGATATTTACATTTGTCAGCGATTGGTTGCTATCACTTTTACTTCGATGCATTGGTATTTTTGCGTTCTCAGACAACACATTATTAATGGCGCCTGGAGAAACTGAAAATTTAACCGACGATCCTTAAATTGCAAGAAGTCAGTTTCACTTTTGCCAGTATGATTCTCGCGTAATTTGATAGAAACACTGTAAGGAAGTGATCATTTGTAGGAAATAAAGCAAAATCTGTTCAAGCATAAATTCGTTTTTTATTGATTGAAAAATCCTCACCAACTGCAAATTTATCTTAACAATGTATGCTAATA